ATTTAAAATACTATTAGACACTTATTTATGCGAATCCTCGCGCCGGCAAGCATACTGCCCCGTGGTGAGAACATAAAGAGCAGTGCTACATCCTTTTTCCACTTGTGCCTTTCAGGTGAACGACAGCCACTGACCGACAAAAACAAAGCCGACCTGTGTAAAATGAGAAAGGCCTCGATCTTGTGTATCAAGCCGTGAATCCGTGAAATAGCCTGTGAAGAAAACCTTGTCGATCTGGAATATGCAGACGACATCGTTCTCATGTTCGATGAGGCGGAGAAGGCGGAAGGATTCCTGGATGAACTCACCAAAGTCATCCCGTCCTTTGGTGTGCACTTTGCGCCCACAAAGTGTAACGTCATGCTTGCGGATGTGCAGTCACTGAACACGCCCATTACACTCCAGGGAGAGGTATTGAGAGTTGTGGAGCGTTTTACGTATCTTGAAAGATGTATTAGTTTTGATTGTAGTGTGACAGGTGAGGTGAATGCACGAAGCTGCAAGGCTCGTGCCGCGTTTGCTAACTTCAGACACCTATGGCGTCAGAATGGCTTATCTCTGAATCTGAAGGGACGTCTGTATCAAGCTACAGTACGGGCTGTTTTGTTGTGTGGATGCGAGACTTGGCCTATTCGAGCAGCGGACCTGAGACGTCTTCAGGTGTTCGACAATCGTTGTCTCAGAACCATAGCTCGTTTGAGTTGGTGTCGGCGAATCCGCAACGAGGCAGTTAGGAAGCGCGTTTTCGCTTGTGCAACGGGTACTTCCACTGAAGAATGTGTCCAGCACCAGAAGCTGCGTTGGTTAGGACGTGTGTTATGTATGCCGAACCATCGTTTGCCCCGCTTGAACAAAGCTTGGCAAACAGGTTTTTTACCGTTGACCCGGCAAATAGCCGGCGGGGACATAGTAAGAAAATTTTCAAGCTCAGGGAACACGCATTCGTTAGACAAAATTTTTTCATTTCGGGTGGTAGCTGCATGGAATGACCTTCCTCCGGCGGTTGTCCACGCTCCTAGAACCCAGTTTAAAGCGCTACTAGACATTTATTAATGCGAATCCTTACGCTGGCAAGCATGCTGCTCCGTGGTGAGAACATAAAGAGCAGTGCTACACCCTTTATCCACTTGTGACTTTCAGGTGAACGACAGCCGCTTAACGACGAGAACAAAACTGACCCGGGAAACTTGGGCAAATGCATCGATCTTGTGTTTCGATCCGCTAATATGTGAGAGAACATATGGAGTTTTTATAGCCTGCGCATCCAACCATGTCTGCAAGATATGGTGTCACCAGAAAGTCATAATTTTGGCCTGTAGGTTAACAAAGTGCTCAAGCTATCAAATATTTTTTCTGGTTGAAGGTGGAGCTAAGCAAGCAAAAACTTGACAATTTTAAACAAACAGCAAACAGCCACTGGAACAGACAGTTTGCGAACAGGGAAAACAAAACTTAAGGTATAATTGGGGCAATTGAAAAAGAATATAAATGTCCAGAGCTTGTAAACTGCGGCTAACGGACTACGGGGTTTAAGTGTGCGCTATCGTGTTAGGAAAATCGCTTGCTAATGTTGTGTGTGTGCTCCATGGGCCGTGCAGTCAAGAAGGAATTCTATCTTAACTCGCATAACCAGGTCAGCTATCTCTATGGGCTCCTTGGAGTGAGAGAAGTTGAGCCAGGTTCGGCCTACTTAGGAGTTTGCGAAAAACGTACAGATAGTAGACAGAACTGGTGGAGCGATTCAGCTTAGGGACGGAGCAATATTGCCGCAATAGTCTACGAAAACTGCTTTCATGTTCTTGCCAATTTTGTGGTCCACAAATATCTGTCAGGCAATGCCGACCGCCTATGACGCCGCTACTTTTCCTACCTCCATAATACCGACAAACCCCTTCAGTCACCCCTAAATCCGGACATTAATATTAGGACAATCCTTAAGGGTGTGAACCAACAAGTTGGGAATGAAAGTTACTATTATTAAAATGATCATGAAGAATCTGATTAGAGAGGAGCACTATCACAAGTTCGAGTTAAAAACCACTGTCTGCGATTTGGCTTGATGTAAAACAGTACATATAGCACCATAAAAATTGACTTTGGTAGATCCAGAAAGACAACCCTTCGGGATGTAAGCAGACAACAAACAGAGTATAATGGACCACGCTTTCTCGAACTTCTCTCACAGACGTTGCCAAACGAACCGCACAGAGGCGACTATCCACAGATATCCAATCAAGTAGAGATGCTTCCGTTCGTTCGCTGAATACAATGCCCAACGCAGCATACCTAGCTACAGCGGTCTCTACGTCACCAGAGATGTGCAGCCGAAACCTGGAGGAGAGCGAAGGAGTGGTCAGTCCAATTACAGCACTTGCGTCCTGTGTCCTTGTTTCTGACAGACAGCGTACACTAACCCAGAAGTTCAGTGTACGAACAAGAGCCACCTGTTTTCCCGCTCGTTTCGGTGTGTGCACGGTGAAGGCAGCTTAATAAACCAGCTTTTGGGGTTTGAAAACAGATTTCGAAGTGCTTAGAGTTGTCACTGATGTCAGACATACAGAAGCTGCAGCATGGCGAACCAAACGGCCCATCTTGGTACTGGTACCTGCGGGGAGTGTTCGAGTTGAGATGGGTAGGGTATAATAGAAAGAACTAGGTATTGATCCGCGTCGAAAAACTTGCGTTGAACAGTCAAAAGGGGGAGGTATCAGGAAGGTCAGATTCCTGGAAGCAACTTCAGAACGCCCGAAACCTAGTGCTCTACCAAAAACCCAACTGGAAATCCGGAAATCACCCAGGCCAATCAATCATTCAATCAATTCAGCAAGACCTGATTAGTGTTCTCGCGGCCACGGAAGCACGACCGAGTGTGGTCAGCGTTCAGGCTTTTCACAGAGGCACGATCGATGTTGATGGGTGATCACTAAGGCCTATTAGACAGCCTGGATCAATGTCAGCAAGTCCCCTTTAAAAAGCGTGGGGCCGTTGTAACTTTTGCACTCTCACTCACTCGCTTGTTCGGAATACAGCTGTTGTGTTCCATTCTGTAAGTCTTTTCTCTCCGACACTAGGCACTGGAGCGGGTCAGCAGTAGATACCACAGATTAACGAATCAGCGGGTATAACAGAAAACAGATTTCGTAGTGCTTAGAGTTGTCACTGATGTCAGACATACAGAAGCTGCAGCATGGCGAACCAAACGGCCCATTTTGGTACTAATACCTGCGTGGAGTGTTCGAGTCGAGATGAGTAGGGTATAATAGAAAGAACTAGGCAGTGTACGAAGGGAAGTGTTAGCAGTAGCATGTTTTCACTTACTCGCTTTGTTGTGTGCAGGTAAGGTAATCTGGCGGATCACACCACGCGACGGTCGATGTGGCATGAAATTCTTTTTAATTGTGAGTATCATGGTTTTACTTGCGCTGAGCTACTGATAGGGCGCCAACATCTAGACGGGAAGACGGTTGGAGTGCTCAAACAAAGTCTTTGATTTAAAAGACTTGCTGTGATGCTGTGTGTGGACGCCGGTTAACGGCTACATCAGTGGAATAACATAAGGATAATTTTTATTCCACAATGGTGGGCAGCATGCTGTCAGGCACGATCAATATGCTGCAGTCAGAATGCAGAATGACAGGCGGGTCGCTTGGAATTGCGTAAAACCGGACGTCATTAAAAACAGGAGACATTATCCGATGCGGCCATTTCATATCCGGCACGGGCAAGGAAGCACTATTCTCACTGCTTTTTCCCCTTGAGGAAATTTACGGGCTGTAGCAAGATCAGATCGTTTGAATTTGAATGTGGTGGGCTAAAACAAAGCGATGGAGGGCAAAACGAGTGGCATATTGCCCGACACATAACAACAAAATTGCAAATTTATGAGAATGAGTAATTAGGACAACGGATTTGGTGGTGCAGCAGAGTTGGCGACGTCCCATCGGTAAGTGTGAACTAAAACCTAGAACCACTGCTGAGGCCCCGTGGCCTTGGACTCTCGAGCTTTTGGTCGTTGTGAGGAGAACGCAAGTAGGGATGATGAAGTGCGGGGATTAGTAATGCGAATAACTGGTGACAGGAATCTCAGATCCATGGTGTAAATTGAAACTGTAGCGACCTGCTGGTGGCGCTGTTGTAGTGGAGTCAGTCTTATGAGTTCCTTGGAAGAGTGAGTTGATGGCAACACGCGAGCTGGAACGCGAACAATACGGAAACTTAATAACTTTGCGGAAAGCACATACTGAAAGCCCACCGAAATGGTTAGATCCGAGCGAAAAAGCGGCAGACCAGAGAGATCGCCTCCTGGAGGTGACTGGATCCAAATGAAGAGCTTGTTAGTATTTGCAGTTATTGGAATGAGCGGGAGAGAGGATACGGTCGAGAGAAGGAAGAAAATAGTTTAGGGTGTGCTATCAAACTGATTATGGTAGTTGCGTGCCATCACTGTACTTACATAATTCGGCTTCTTTACAACCCCGCAATAGCGTCATGTTTGGGGTGATTGGAATGGGATGTTGAATCCTTTGAGAAGCGGGAATTGTAACGTTGTTTAAGGCAGTTGGTGAAGATAAAACGAAGCTGACGTAAGTTCGCAGGTTATTTCCAGTTTGGACCAGTTGGGATCCCTTTGATCGAGCCTGTGTATCAATCCGTGAAACCAAGGGAGCACAACTTATATTGACGCCCACAACCAGATCGGAAACAATTTTACGGAGTGTCGTATGTAAAGTGCATGCCGCAGAATCATTCTAGGAATTTATGATGCCTTCTCGGTGCACCATTGGCAGCCGGCTTTCGGCGAAGACTGTCATGACTGACTGTTGGCTCCAGGCTTCCGACCAATCAGAGCCAAGCTTGATGACAAGACGCCAAGCGGCCCGAAATTCGGCCAATCATGTGGGGCGGTCGAGAGAGGAAGAAAATAGTTTAGGGTGTGCTATCAAACTGATTATGGTAGTTGCGTGCCACCACTGTACTTACATAATTCGGCTTCTGTACAACCCCGCAATAGCGTCATGTTTGGGGTGATTGGAATGGGATGTTGAATCCTTTGAGAAGCGGGAATTGTAACGTTGTTTAAGGCAGTTGGTGAAGATAAAACGAAGCTGACGTAAGTTCGCAGGTTATTTCCAGTTTGGACCAGTTGGGATCCCTTTGATCGAGCCTGTGTATCAATCCGTGAAACCAAGGGAGCACAACTTATATTGACGCCCACAACCAGATCGGAAACAATTTTACGGAGTGTCGTATGTAAAGTGCATGCCGCAGAATCATTCTAGGAATTTATGATGCCTTCTCGGTGCACCATTGGCAGCCGGCTTTCGGCGAAGACTGTCATGACTGACTGTTGGCTCCAGGCTTCCGACCAATCAGAGCCAAGCTTGATGACAAGACGCCAAGCGGCCCGAAATTCGGCCAATCATGTGGGGGATTGGCCTCTCGGTTATTGCAACGCCCAACTGCGAGCGGTAAAGTGGCATTGGTGTTGGGTTGCACTTAAAACAGTGTGGTCGACTACCTGGCCTCAAGCCTCTTGGAGGTAAAGATGCTGCCGCTCATGAGCTTTTGGCACTTATTAGCGCAGCTGTCACTACGCATAAGCAACTATGCTACGAAAATCTCACATGAGGTCACTTGACGATATCCCAGCGCCCTTATCCCGGCGTTTTTCAGTTGCGGAGCACAATTACAGCATGTTTCGGCCTCATGCTCCTCACCATTTGTGTGATTTTACCTCCAGATCCTTTGGAACGCCTTTGAGGGTAGGTAGTTTCCGATACTTGCTGACCAAAAGCATTGAACACGCCCTTGTGTAGTAGCGTGGCCAGTAATTCTGCATGTTGGCACGAAATCTGGCATTCGTATCGCAGTTCACTGGGTGCGTCAAGCAACTATCCCGCTGGCGTTGCGAATTCCTAGTGATGGATCACTGCAACGACCCGGAGATGCCGGATATTTCAGTTTTTATTACGAAGGGACAAACAAAGGAACTTTAATGCCTCCTGAATGTAGCAGCTTCCTTCGGGTTAAAAGCCGTCCTGTGGTACAGAACCTTCTGCACAAGCGCTTTATTCAGACCCGGACGCGTGGTTAATACATTTGTCTAACACTCAGCCAGAAATGTACATGAAATTTGCATCACTACACCGAAAGGAGCCTGAGGTTCATTTGATGTCATATACGGTCTGTCTTCCTGCTTGTTACCCAATACTTCAATGGGGATATCAATATTCGATGACTGGTGGATATATAATCAAACGCCTTGGTGCTTCCGAAAAGGTTCATTAATTGATTTGTATCGAACCCTACCCGTTAGCTCCAGGCCTTCTGCCCCCTACATCTTGGGCAAAACCGCTGCTCAAGTGTTATTGGAGCTCTGGCGAACCGGAGGGCTCGATATGGTTTTATGGTTAGGGCTTCAACCTAATGATCGAAAGGTCCGTGGTTTGAACCCAAGCCTTTGGGAAAGTGCTGACTGGTTGACAGATTCGAACGCATTCTTGAAGTCGAGGAATACCAAGCGTATAGGATGTCTATGCACATGCCATTGCTCTAACATTTGACAGAATGCGACGATGTCCACACATTCGTATGGCAGCGAAGCACTGTCATGCCGTCGGTGCTGTTACACATTCCTTTCCCGACCGGAATCCATCTTTTGTTCTGGGGTCTCATATTAACGTGCCTCTGTAAGACGACGTAATGACGCAAAACGTCTTCATGGCTTCCGAGTAGCCATGATATATCAGCCAGTTTTAAAAATTGTCAATTGAATCAGCCTTCTTTAGGGCCCACTCACGTATGTCCTCTGGTTTTTATTCGAATGACCGTTTCTTATCTGTTTCTCCATCTCTCCCCGAAGAACGGCGAGATGGCTAAGTAGTTAGGGCGCGAATTTACTGACCAGGAGGTCCATGGTTCGAACCTGATCTCTGCATCTCGATTTCTCCTGTCTAAGCTTGGGAAACCTGACAACATCCTACCCCTCGCGCTTCCTTCTGGTGGCATTGCGACTAGGCGCCGAAAAAGTGTTACAGCGGAAAAAATATTTTTTACAATTCCCATAGTACTCCACAGTGTTCTACAGTACTTAGTTGGATATTTGTCCCATACCACTTGGACGCAAGGTTGATCTCCGATGCTGAACGTCAAGAACAAGCCCGACCCGGGAAGCTTGAACGAAAGTTTCGATCCTGTGTATCAACAAGTGAATCCGTGAATGGTCGGTTGTTCCACGTAGACAGTCTTACGTAAAATGAACCTTTGGCTCTATCTTTCCTTGCTGCGTTTTGCACCGTTAGGGTTATACATTTAAGAGCCTAGGTGATGGCTTGGGTCAGCTCGTGCCAATTAGGCAAGAAAAAAAGAAGTATAATTGTACTGAATGTTCCCTAAACTTATATAAAATAGGTATTTCACTGAAGGTCGCAAAAGCTTTAATCTTTAAAAATGTTTGGATGAACCGTACCACTTACTATCTAAGAGCAAGACTTGGCGACCACTATTTCCCCTGTTTCGGAATCGTGATGATAGTCAAGCTTCTGACTTCGGAGGGACTTGTCACATTAGAACTTGTCTGTAACATGAGCATTGTCACCAGTGATCTCCTGCTATAAGGCTCAGGATGGACGGCTAACATAGTGCGGCAGGCCGAAGCTGGATAAGAGAGCGTTTGAGTGAAGCACTGCAAACAGAAGTCTTAATGAGTGACCTCGGGTACAAGCAGAGAGAATAAGGAAGAGCTCAGGTACGTAGAGGCTCACTTAGGGTCCCAGGTGTCGCTGTCAATAGGAGCATCATTTGAGAAACTGGTCACAATCACCACGTTACCAACACTGTGGGCACTTAAACCTTGTTTGGCAGAAAGATCTGGAGAGATTCTGCATAGGGGAGAGAATTTAAGACCTACTGAGAAATTGTCCGAGGCCCTCTAAAGAGTCTGAATGGTATCATTTATTTCCCCAAGCCGAAAGTCAACTGTGTGAGAATGCGGAAGATGGTGTGTACTGCTGTTGTTGATAATGCTGTAAAGATGACCGTCTAGAAAATGGGACCTTCGGGTCATGTGCTCGAGGAAGTTGGGTGTACAATAGAGTCTTTGAAGAAGGCCATACACTCGTCCTTTGTAGATTCCAAGGAGCTAGGGTTCATAGCGTGCACTGTTTGCAACCGTCACAACGGGATGAATGACTTGTGCTTAACAGCTCAGGAGTGGAGGTTACTAGTGCTTCGTGGGGCTTCATGTACAGCACTTATGGATGAGAACATTTTGGAGTTAGACAGGCTTTTCGGAATAAGGGTTAGTAGACGAAACCACTACAAATAACCACTTCATGTCATGTGTTCAAACGACAACAGCAGACTTCTAACCCGGAGCTAGTTTTTGTGCATTAATCGTGAGAGAAGTCCGGCGAGGACGTGATTCAGTGTATGCTTTCGCCCAGATTGATCCATTTCAGATCCAACCGCTCCCTCGTAATGGGGTATCTTAATTCTCCATGTATAACATGAGGTGCGCCTATGGTAGAAAGCCTTTGCAGTATAGGAGAACAAATAAGCTTTCTGGTAGCAGGTCAGGCCCCCCCGAGAGATTTAGTTCCAACATTACGTCAAATATATTTGACCTGTACTGACGTCTTTTGAGCGTGCTGCGCCTCACCGTCTCCGTTCCTGGGATAAAGTCACCACACTGTCATTCATCTTCAATTCAGCACCCGATTCAGATTCTGATCGGTGACGATGTTCCTAACTTCAACTATACATTCAACAATATTGATTTCATTCACCAACTGACTCACATAGTCTCCCTAATGGGGAACTGGAGTGGAGTGGAACTGCTGCTCTGAAGATTTCGGGGCTTTTCGCAGCCACATCGACCATTCCTCACGGATCTGCCATCGCGTACCCGTACCCGTACCCGCAACGACGGTTACGGCAGTGAAGCATCAGTGTCAACAGTGTTGTTTTTGTTTTTGTTGTTTTTGTTGTTGATGATGATGATGATGACAGCTTTGAATCCTTCTGTGGGGTGGGCGATGTTAGGAGGGAAGTTATGAACGTAGACCCAGAAGGGGCTCCAGATTTTGACTACCTCCTTCCTCCCCGGGTTAACCAAGCTCTTTCTACCCGAACTGAGAGTCCAGCTGGTTTATTCAATAATTCCTCTCCCATGAGGTGGATGCGAAGGGAGCGTCAGAGGGCAACAACCGTATTCACACGAAAGGGGAGTTTAGGCGTAACCTCAGAACTCAGCATGAGCATTTTCTGGAAGCTTATGGGAAGTATTCTTCGCTTCCTCACGTACTTATGCAAAAAAACCCGACTAGTCGGTGACAAGCAGCGCGGGTCCCACGAGTCTCTTAAGCTCCTTTAAGCGGTGACTAGAAAACTTGTTGTAACGGTATTTTCCCTCAGCTTAGCTTGTTGTAAATTTTCCCTCAGCTTAGTTCTCGGTCTGAGCCTCCCAAGCTAGCGTTCACGTCAAAACAAACACCAAAGGTGCACAAAGGAAGGTTAACGCCCAAAACGAAATCAGGAACAGTTGTACAGCGCTTCGTATATATAGCGTAAGCGGCTATAACTTTCTGG